GCAGCATCTGCTAAATGAACCTGCACTATAATCCACCGTCTCACATTAGGAATATGCCAAGTTATATGTGAACTTGTACATGAAAAGACATGTACAAGAGCGCTCATAGTAGCATTACTTGTAACAACCAGGAGTTGGGTAAAACCTGTTAGCCACAGCAGGAAAATAAGCAAATCATCATAGTGTACAGCTTAAATATATACAGTTTTACCTGTCAATTATAACTATAAAAGCTGGGGAAAGAAACTTCATTAAACTGTATCCATACAAAAATAAGTAAATAAACCACTGTAAGTTATACAATGGCATGCCACACAGCCATGAAAAAGAATGAACAACTGTTACATTCAGCAGCATGAACAAATCTCACAAAGGATGCTAAGCCTAACACACTTCATTACAAAAGAGTCCATGCCTTGTAAATCCATTTATACAAAGTTCAAAATGCAAGTGAAATTAAGCTATAGTGTTGAAAGATACACGTTTAGCAAGGAGACGATTGCCATAAAATTCATGCTTGAGATCACCTTCACAGGGAGGTAGAAAGCACATGTGAACGTTCTGAGTTGCCTGAGGTGACGTTTTATAACATGGATCTATAACATGGACTGTTGTCTTAGTTTTTTTAAGCCTCAGTGATGGTGGCGCTAGTGGTAAAGAACCTGCCTGCCAATGGAGGAGACGTAAAAGATGTGGGTTCGATCCCTGGGTCAGGAAGATTCCCTTGGAGGAGGAAATAACAGCCCACTTCAGTATTCTTGCCTGGAGAATCACATGGACAGAGGAGCCTGGCAGGCTACAGTCCATGGGGCTGCAAAGAGTCAGACACAACTGAGGTGACTTAGCGCACGCACATGATACTCTCTGAAGGGTCCTAACATTTACCTGCTGGTCCCTGGCCAGACTGTTTGGTATCAAGGACAATAATCTGGGGGGTGGGGGGAGTAGTGTCTGGGGGACAAGAGACAGTGAGAGTGGGCACAGGGTGCCAGTCTGCCCTGGGGCAACAGAAGCAGCCGTGTAGCACAAGCAGCTCTGGGCTTTTCCTTCCAGCCCCAGTGAAGGCAGATGGAAGGTGTGATCCTTTACTCTAGTTTCATGGTCCTGTTAGGGGAAGCACACTGATTGAAACCACTCACCCTGGCCAGGCACCATAATAACCATTTGCATGAGTTGTTTTACTACAGGAGGTCCTGGTAAGGAACGTGGAACTAATAAGCCACCACCAACCAGAAGAGTTCGGGAAAGGTCAAAAGGAGACACCACATGTCCAACCACCTCCCAGAATCATCCTCTCTGGCATCCATCTTGGCTGAACAAGGCGTGCACCACTAGGAAGGACTCTTGAGTCAGAATGACTGGCTAAAGACAACCCGGAAACTAATCCCATCACCATAAAACCCGAGAGTGCAAGCCATGTGACAGAGCTGTTCTCCTGCGTCCCCTTACCCTCCTGCTCTCCCCCGGGCGCCCTTTCCAATAAAATCTCTTGCTTTGTCAGCACGTGTGTCTCCTCGGACAATTCATTTCTGTTAGACAAGAGCCCAGTTTCAGGCCCTGGAAGGGGTCCCCCTTCCTGCAACAGTCTTGTCACTCTTCCCAGCCGTTTGTGGGTGCAGCCCCTGAGCTCGTGAGGCGGCGGTGTACGCCGGGGCTGGGGCGGGAAGGAGGGGCAGTGACTGGTGGGTGTGGAGGTTTCTTTTGGAGTGCCGGAAATGTTTGAAACCAGACTTGGGGGCTGCACATCACGAAGGCATACTAAATTTGATTAATTTTATGTGAATTTCACCCCAATTTAAAAACAAATAATTTAAAACTCATTGGATAGATTTAACAAACAAAAAAACTATATTTTTCTCCTTAACAAAGGCATATATTTCTTTCTGAAAGGAAATAGATTTTTAAAGAATTTCTGGCATCCTCAAAGTTGCCTACTTCCTTTTCTCAGCTGTTTTTTTTTTTTTTAGGTTGTACAAAGCAAGTTTTTTAAGGTGTACCACATGACGACTTAACGTGCATACACATTGTGAAATGATTACAATTAATATGTTCATCACTTTACCTTTTGGGGGAGGAGTGAGGAGTGAGAACACCAAAGATCCACTCTCTTAGCCGATTTCGAGTGCTCAGTGCAGAGTTGTTAACTGGAGTTAACATGCTGTAGTTAGATCTTTACAACTTCATCATCTTATAACTGAAAGTTTGTGCCCTTTGATCAATCTTTCCCCATTTCCCCACTCCCCAGCCCCCGACAACCACCATTCCACTCTCTGGTTCTAGGAATTTGACTTCTTTAGGTTCCATATGCAAGTGAGATCACAGCATGGTTGTCTTTCTGTGTCCGGCTAGTTTCCTCTTTGCATCGTGTCTTCTGGGTGCATCCATGCTGTCTTTCCTTTCACCCCTTTCTCACATCTGCCCTTCCCGTCTCCCCTGGCCGATTATGCATATGAGCCGTGCACAGGCACCTCCGTGGGTCTGCCTTTGCCTCTGGCTTTCTGACCTCCTGCAGCCTCTCCCGGAGGGCAAGTGCTGCTTTGCTGAGTCTGCATCTCTGCTGGCGGTCCTCACACTGATCTTGACAGGAAACTAGGCTTCCTGGGTCCTGAGTCAGCAGAGTGGAAAGGAAATGAAGGCCACAGAGCAGTCGGAGAGGAAGCTGCCAACCTACAGGCAGAATCGACACTTCTCTGTAGGTCTGGAGGAGAGTCCAGTCCTCTGATTCCAGAACACGGCTCCTGAAACACTGGCTCCTGGGTCAGCCAACCCTAAGCAAGTCTTCTGCCTTTCTCTGCAGTCATTTGCCTAGATATAAAGTGGGAATGGCTGTGTGAGGATCACAGGTGTCAACAGCCATTGCCTAGATAGAAAAAGTCTGCACAAGAGCTAGCGCTTACTCCTTTCAAAGATTTCTAAGTGGAGAGTTAAAAAAATACCCGTCTATTTTCTTCCTGCCTTTCCTCTCCCCTGTTCCGGTTACTGATAGCAAAAGAGCAAACAAAACAAACCTGAAACACCCTAGTAACCTATATTTTGGCATTTTGCAGTTGAACCAAGATTTCTTTCATAGGAAAGTGGCACTTAAATAGGATAATATGTTTAAGGACATTTTCTTCCTAGACCTGATTGTAACTGGCAATTGTATTTAGGGCCCACAAGTCTAACTCCCCTATTTCTAGTCATTGAAGGTTCAAAGTGGAACTTTTTCATACACACAGACAGCAGGAAGTACCCAGTTCAGTGATGAATTCTCATGTGGCAGCCTGGTCTTTAGAAGTGTTAGGATGTACTGGGAAAAGCTTGAACTCAAAGGTGGGTGACCCAGGCTTCAGTATGGATGAGACCCTGGGCTGATTACTTCGCTTTCCTGGGCTTTCCTGCCTATTAGATAAGGGCATTAGATTAGATGGTGTTTAAAGTTCCTTCAGTTCAATAATTTAGGATTCCTAATGTCACCCCCCCCCCCAAAATAAAAAGGAGGCATGAGGGTTTGGGCTAAGAACCAGCCAGGGGAAAAGTAGGCCCCACCCTAAGGTCCTTTTTTTTTTTTTTTTTTAAGTGTATTTTAATTACAAGTCAAATTTCACTTTCAGGGGAAAAAACCACCCTTAGGCATTTTCTGTTCTGTTTAGTTTAATCTTTCTCCCCAGCAGATAGCTCTTCAGTCGAAGGGCTTGGGGGAGGTTTCTCACACTTTCCACCTACAGGCCAGTTTACATACCAGAAAGGACTCCCTGGATTTTACCGAAGGTTGTTGCCAAGAGAGAAGGCGTCACTTTAAAGGGACTTGCGTGGATCCCTGGCGCCACTTCTGACACCACGGGGCTGGTCCAGCATGAGGGCGGTGACACGCGCAGGGCTGAAATGGGTTTCACGCTCAGGACCAAGGACTTGGCCTCCTGCCCTGTCATATGTTACGAAACAAGCATGTGTTGCTTTCAGTGTGTTTGTACTGGACCAGGCAGAGTGCAGTGCTTGGGTCTAGACTCAGAGACCCCGGGACCTTCCCGCTGCCTTGTCACTTCTTTGAGTGGTATCTTGCCCACTGCCTCCCCCCGCCTCCACCCCCACTGTGTTTCTAGAGAACAGGTGAGGCCACAGATCCTGGGAGCAGGCGAGGCCATCCACTGCGGCCTAAACTCTTCAAAGGGCTTCGAGTTCAGATCCTACTGCTGCTGCTAAGTCGCTTCAGTCGTGTCCGACTCTGTGCAACCCCACAGACGGCAGCCCACCAGGCTCCCCTGTCCCAGGATTCTCCAGGCAAGAACACTGGAGTGGGTTGCCATTTCCTTCTCCAAGGCGTGAAAGTGAAAAGTGAAAGTGAAGTCGCTCAGTCGTGTCTGACTTCTAGCAACCCCATGGACTGCAGCCCACCAGGCTCCTCCGTCCATGGGATTTTCCAGGTAAGAGTACTGGAGTGGGGTGCTATCGGTGTTCTACAAAACCAGCAAACGCGCACCAGTTTTAGATTTGGGAATTATCGGCACAGGCAAGGTCCTCCATCGTGAAATTCTCCAGAGTAGGGTGGAGCAGACTTCCATAAAGCAAACTCCAGTCTCCCCAGCCTTCTGTGAAAACATTTGTACCCAAAGAGGAGTCCCTTCCAGCTCTCGGATGCGGCAATGGAACCATTTTTCTCTAAATGAAGTGTTTTGTGAACCAGCTTGCCTATACCTTCGGAAACTTCAAGTGCATAATTTGACCTCAGTTCATCTTTTTGCCCCATGGGCTTGGTTGAAAGGTCAATATCCCCGCTGATTCTCCTCACAAGGAAGAAGCCTTCCAGTCATCTTGGTGTCCCTGAAGACGGTAGCACTGCCATGGATCAAGTTATCAGGAGTTATTAGAATTCCTACTTGCAGAGTTGGATCTCCTTTTGGTGCAGCCTGTTTTATTTTTCTGGCCCCTATGCTGTGTTCACTCACACAACTTAGTTGTATAAAGGCTTCTTTGAAGTCAGGAGCGCCTCCAGCACTACAGATGACCACTGGAGGTGGACGATGTTTCCTGACCCCAGACCCACTCTGCTTCCCGGAACTCTGCTTACAGATGAAGAAGAGGCCTCAGCCCCAGGGACCGCAGAGCCAGTCGCCAGTGGCTCCAACAGCTGGACATCACCCTCCTGCTCTTCCTGCCCACCCCCCGCCCTTGTTCAAGCCCTCTTGTCCTTTCCTCCCCGTCTTTCCCTTTTCCCTGTTTCCCGTATCTTCCTTTTCTCCCTATTCAGATGGAGTCGTACTCAATTAAGCAGAGGCCGTAGCTGGTGTCCACGTGGTCGTTTTCATTTTCTTCTTCTCTTGGCCAGCAGCGCTTGTCTCCACTTCCACGTCCTTGACCACCTGCCCCAGGCGGACTGTCCTTTATGCCACCGGGTGGCACCAGCGCTGTCACTGGAGTCATGGTCGCAGGACTTTCCTTGTAGAGGACATCGCTCACCTGAGAACACAGGCTTGTTACATGTCCCAATTACCATTCTCTTCCTCCCTCATTTCTGGATGGGATTTGACAGCCCAGCCTCTCCCGAAGCTAGAAGCTGCCTTGGAACGAAGGATGTTACTGAAACTGTTGTGCAGCGTACTGAAAGTGTCCATAAACAGGGGTTGCGGGGGCCCTTCTTTGTTCCTTCCCAGTTTCTGCTGATTAGAGTGGAGATGTGCTGTGTGGAGCTTGAGTCTCCAGCTCAGATCGTGAGACCCCAGGCTGCACACAATGGGAGGGGTGTAGCAAGACTCGGTCTGAACCTCCCTCCAGACCAGCCCTGGGCTGACCGCCTGCCCAGTTCTGTTACTCGAGGGAGAAACTCAACTTCTATCACATTTGAGCCACTGTTATTTTTAAAAGATACATATCCAGAGGTACATTCTAACATACGGAATTTATAAATTCATATTTCACATGTCACATTTATCTGTACACAGCAGAGAATGGGCCTTGCCAAGAGAACAAGTAGAAAGGTAAGAAATTCTAATGACTCCAGCTTGTTTTGACAAGTTTTCATCTTTATTAGACTCCTTTGGGGCCACAAATGACATCCAATAATGGCTTTAATGACGAAAGACAGAAGATATTTTAACCTTCCTAATCTTTTTTTGGGCGGTGGGGGTGGGGGGCTGGTAATTACAGACTTAGCAGCAAATTGCAAGCATAGCACAAGGAGTTCCATCTAACCTTTACCCACACTCCCCAAATGTTAACACTAGCACATCCACGTTATCATTCTGTGTATCTCAATTCTCGTCTGAAGCGTTAGAGTGAGGTGCAGAGACACTGCCCCCTGCCCATGAGCACTTAAGTGGGTATTTCCTGAAAACAAGGGCTTATGTGCAAAGTAACCACAGGAAGACAAGCAAAATCAGAAAATTCACCCTAATTCAACACCACTAGCTAACCTATAGGCTTTCTTCAGATTTTACCAATTGGCCCAATAATGTCCTTTAATACCCCAAAAGACAGACAAGGGAAAACCCCAAATTATATGTTGCAATCAGTTCTAGTGTCTTCCTAGTACTTTTCAACCTGCAGAAATTTCTGTCTTGCCCTGTTTTTCCTAGCCTTGACATTTTTGAGGAGTCGGTTATTTTATGAAACATCCCTCCATTTGGGTATTTCTGATGCTTTTCTCACAATTAGATTAGTTTTTTGTATTTTTGCACTGGAATCTTCCAGAAGTACTGCTGTGTGTCTCAGCGTGTCATCTCATGAGGCATATATAGAGGCCACTCTCTCATTACTGGGGATGTTGATGGTGATTGTGGGTTGGAATGGTGTCTGCTCTGAAAAGTTATTCTCTTTGTAAAATTAATAAGTACCTTTGAAAAAGGGCCCTAGGACCCAATTCCAGTATATGTATGTGTATTTAGGCTTCCCACACCAACAGGCAATTCTTAGACACCAGTGGGGTGTCCAAGAATTCAACTCAACTCTGACACTTAGTTGGAAATAGAATCAGGCTCATCCCACAAGACGGGCCTCCACTTCAGATGCCAGTCACAAGCCCAGGTTATTTTTACCTGTGCTTCTGACCAACTGACTACAAATCAGAGGCTCCCACGACCCCTCCTTGGGTTTGATTAAGTTTTTAGAATGGCTCACAGAACTCAGGAAAACTTGTTTGCTCACCAGACTACAAAAAGGGTATTAAAGGATATGAACCAACCACTAGATGAGATATACAGCATGAGGTATGGTAAGGGGTCCCTCCACTCTCACACATCTTCCCGTGTTCACCAGCCCAGAAGTTCCCCAAACCCTCTCCTGTGGGGTTTTTTGGAGGCTTCCTTAGACATGATTGATTAAATCGTTGGCCATTGGTGATTCATTCCACCTGCAGCCCACTGAGACAGGGGTGATACTGAAGTTCCAACCCTCTAATATCATGGTTGGTTTTCCTGGCAACTGATGCCAACTCTTGGGTGGGATCCAAGAGTCACTTTCTCCAAAGTGTTTTCAGGAGCTGACGAAAGACCAAACATCATCCCACTGCTCTTACAGCTCAAGAAATCCCAAATATTTGGGGAGTGGGGAGCCAGAACTGTAGATGAAGTCCAAATATATGAGAAATAAATATTTTAGTCATCTGAATGATCAAATACTTATCTCTTTTAAATCATGATGTCACAATCTTGTGGAAAGACACTTTGAGACTGCATACTTGTTGTTTAGTCACTAAGTCATGTCTGACTCTGTGACCCCCATGGACTGTAGCTTGCCAAGCTCCTCTGTCTGTGGAATTCTGCAGACTAGAATACTGGAGTGGGTTGCCATTTCCTTAACCAGGGGATCTTCCTGGCCCAGGGTTAAAGTTGTGTCTTCTGCCGTGCAGGTGGATTCCTTCCCATTGAGCCACCTGGGAAACCTGAGATTGGGTGGATATCCTGCTAATTCTTCAACTTTCACCCACTAACTTGAGCTTCCAAGCTTCCATTTCTTGCATGAAGGAAATATTACTTTAATGGCTGCCCAATAGTGATGTGATAACACTTTTTCTCTCATATTCTTTCCCAAAGAGGATTGAAATTATTTATTTTAAAAGTTTTTAGTTTATTTAACATGGGTTCGATTCCTGGGTCAGGAGGATCCCCTGAAGAAGGGCATGGCAACCCACTCCTGTATTCTTGCCTGGAGAATCCCATGGACAGAGGAACATGGCGGGCTCTAGTCTATGGGGTCGCAAAGAGTTGGACACGACTGAAACGACTTAGCAGGAGCTGCTTTATTGGCATGTGAGGGTTGAAATTTATAATATGAAAGCAAGAACCCAGGTCATTGTCACAGTGAACACTATAAATAAAAATAGCTTGCTATTAAGTAATCTCTTTGTGGGTCCAAAGCTTGTGTGTGGCACCATGCCAGGCCATGGATTCAAAAGTAAACGAGACACACCCGGATCCTCAGGAAGCACGCTGTTTTCGGCATAGGGGCAGAAATGTGAGCGTGTATTTTCTGCAGCGCAGCCAGGGCCGTTGCAGCTGCAGAAGCAGGTTCCCTGTGTGGCAGGGCTGGGTTCCTCCTGAGGGATTGGAGTGGAATGAGAGCACTTGATTTGCCCTGTCATAAAGCCACGTTGCACACACTGATTTTTCTGTGTGATAATAAACTCTCTGGAAGGCAAAAACTTGAGCCCTGTCTATCATTGTGTTGACTGAGGAACATGGGAGCGCAGACAGGGCAAGACTACCGCAGAGGATTATGGGAGCCTTAGAAAGGGAAGAACCGGCGACGTGAGGTGGCCTCCCTGTCCTAAGACCCTCGTGGCCCTAGCCCCCTGCTCGAGGGGGTCTCAGCCCTTTGTAGGTCAAACGTGAATACACCCACATTCCCATATTCCATCAGTTGGTGTGTATGTGTGTTAGTTTCAGATGAGTTGGTTTTCATTGTCTCAACATAATATTATATTTTGTCAGCTTTTGATTTATTTCAAATCTTTACAGTTTAAAGCCAATACATTTTTTTTAGGTCTCAAAAAATTCTTTTTGTAGATTCTCACAAAGCTCCTAGGCCCTAGGAACTGCATCTGAAGTAACTGGTGAATTGTTTTTAAGTTGAAGGAAGTTTTATTTGTCTCGGAGACAAATATCTCTGAATTAATCAAACTTCTTTTCAAAAAAACTTTATCAAGATATAGTTTACATACAATAAAATTCACCCATTTAAAGTATACGATTCAGTGGGCTTCAGTACATTCACAGAGTTGTGTAAGGAACACCACTATCTAATTTTAGAGCATTTCATCACTGCAGAAAGAAAACTTGTAGCCACCTAAAGTCACTCCCCACCCTTCCTCTGGTCCCTGGAAACCACTGAACTACTTTTTGTCTCTATAGATTTGCCTCTTGTGGACATTTCATATAAATGGAAAACATGTAATGCGTGCCCTTTTATGGCTGTCTTCTTTCAGCTCCACCTAATGCTCTTCAGGCTCCTCTGTGCTGCAGCCTGCGTCAGAGAGCCATCCCTTCCACTGTGACCAGTGCATCGGACTCTGTGGAAATAGCGCAGCTCCTTTCTCCATCCCCAGCGCAGCTCGTTTCTCCATCCCCAGCGCAGCTCGTTTCTCCATCCCCAGTTGGCAGGCGATGGGGCTGTGCCCAGTGTTTGGCTTCTGTGAACAACACTGCTGTGGACATTCTGTGCAAGTCTTTGTATGGACATTTGTTTTCGTTTCTTTAACAGTGAAATCGCTGTGTCGTGTGGGAAGGTTGTGAGAAGTTGCCAAACTATCCAGTGGTTGCACCATTTTACATTCCAAGAATGAATGAGGGGTTCCATTTCTCTACATCCTCACCAACACTTGCTATTGTCTTTTGTATTCTAGCCCTCCCAGTAGGTATAAAGTGGTATCTCATTTTGGTTTTATTTGCATTTCCCTAATGACAGATGATGTTGAACATCTTTTCATGTGATTACTGACAGTTTGTATGTCTTCATTGAGAACTGTTTTTTTAAATCCTTTGCCCATTTTTAAAAATGGAAATATTTGTTTTCTTCTTAGGTTGTAAGTTCTTTCTTTATGCATTCTGGATAAAAGTCCCTTATCAGTTATATAATATGCTAGCTTTTTCTGTTCTGTGAGTTATCTTTTCACTTTCTGGATGATGTCATTTGAAGTGTAAAAGTTTTTAATTTTGACAAAGTCCAGTTTGTGAATTTTTCCTTTTATCATTTGTGCATTTAATGTCATAGCTAAGAAATTGTTGCCTAACCCTAGATCATATTTATTCCCCTTTTCCTCTAAGACGTTTATAACTTTAGCTCTCACTTTTAGGTCTATTTGCCATTTTGAGTTAATGTTTGTGTATGGTATAAGATATGAATTCAACTTAATTCTTTTTTAATAATTTTTAAAAAATATTTATTTGTTTATTTATTGACTACACCAAATCTTAGTTGCAGCACATGGAATCTTTGCTGCAGCATGTGGGATCCAGTACCCCCACCTGGGATGGGAACTGGGCCCACTGCGTGGGGAACACAGAGTCTAGCTGCTGAACCACCAGGGAAGTCCCTCAACTTAACTCTTTTAAATGTGGATGTTCAGTTGTCCCAGCAACATTTGTTGAAAAGATGACTTTTTCCCCCATTGACTTGTCTTAGCATCTGAATTTTACAATAGTTCTGAGAGCTTGCTGTTGTTGTCTGTCCAACTCTTTGCAACCCCATGAACTACATACAGCACAGCAGGCTTCCCTGTCCTTCACTGTCTCCTGGATCTTGCTCAAACTCATGTCCATTGAGTTGGTGATGCCATCCAATCCTTTGTCCATCTCATCCTTTGTTACTGTCTCATCCTTTGTCGCCCCCTTCTCCTCCTGCCCTCAATCTCTCCCAGCATCAGGGTCTTTTCCAATGAGTTGTCTCTTTGCATCAGGTGGCCAGACTATTG